AGCTGCAGTGGTCTAGACCTGAACCTGTGGTCCTTCAGTCGATCAATGCCGATACAAACCACGCCTACTTAGCCATTGGCCGAAATCAGAGGCACTCTAGTGTGATTGGTTACTGGCACGTGAGACTAGCTGGAGAAATCCATGTCCCTCTACAACATGCCTGAGACCCGTCAAAATCCGTTTGTAGCCAAGTGGATTCACCCCTTGTGAGCTATTCAAACGTCACGCTTTCTGGAAATTCGTCACGCGCTGCTGGTGCTGCTGCTTGTGGACGAAACGGCCAAGTGCGAGGCTATTGGTGCATTTGAGTTTGCGGGTGGATGTGATTGGCCGTTTAGCCTTTTACTCAGCAGCCCCGGAACCAATCCTGAGAGGCCATTGGCCACAATCGATATATTTGTAGCTCAGCACGCTGGGGCGTATGACATAGCGGTTTGCTCCATTCACAGATTTCCTGCTTCAATAGATCGTGCCGTTTCCGGAGATGCACTTTTTATCCTTCAGTTGCCTTGCTACGCTGTTTTAATTTTCTGCTTTAAATAACCAGGGTTATTTGTATCCCAGTATCATCGCCTTATCAACCAATCTCTTCCTAGCCTTTCTTCGGCTTAAATCGCACTCTGCCGTCCTCGTATTTTTAGCGAAGATTCTAACTTCTACCCTTTTCGACGTTGTGTACTACTCAGGCTAACTGGATTGATAGCTCTACTTAACTGGCTACTACTGAAACTATCGAGTAGTACCCGGCTTTAACAGAACAAATTTTCTCATTTAACGCCATGTGCATCAAAGTCTACACTGGCCAACACCTTTGTTTACTGTGTTTTCTCTAATACAGTCGTTGGCGCCGCTTACTTTGGCAAACATTGACTGTCGTTGTTGTTGTTTAAATAACTACCACGCGGTTTGTCCAAGTTTGAATCTGGATTTTAAACGATTTACTGCCGTCTAGTTGCCATAGCTACCACACGTCGAAATCACATCCAAAATAGCCCCGCATTAACCTCACGTAGTTTAACCTCGTTTTTGTGTGGATTAATTTCTTCTGTGTGTGTGCGGTCCTCGTGTGATTTTTATCTGTGAAAACGGATTACCCCGCCCCTCCCCCCAGCAATTTGTGAGCCCGGTAACTCGAGGCGCGTGCGTCTCCAAAGGATGACACTGAATTTATGTGCTCAAAGCACCGTCCGACCCGCCTACCGGACGTTGATGTGCCTGCGATGCGATCGATTTGAGTGGAAGATGCTGGCTCTGTTGTTTTAGCCAGTGCTAATTGGCTGACGGTATCTACGTTCTAACCGCGCATACCATGCATCTCCAAGCCCTTGTCCAATGGACTCACGTTAATGCCCCTTTTTCAATTCACTTTTAGCAACATTATCTTGTAAGTTGGCTCTATTTTTTCCCCTTTTATTTGCAATTGTAATCGTCGAAATGCCCAGGCAACGCCAAAGATTAACTACTTGTGATTTGCCATCATCATTGCTATCATCAACAAATCCAATCAGAAGCTGCTATTCTCATTGACCAATCAGAATTAGACGTGATCTGGATTTTGGAGCCAGAGGCAAATTTTGCGTTCTCACGTTCGAAGACACTCGCCCAACGAATTCGCCCTACACTTTTTCAGGTTCGAGTGCCACCAGTTCCGTGACATCGCGTTCCGGAAGGAGCGGAACCAACCCACCCGCGGTGGGCCACTCCAGTGGCATTCCCGCGGGCCTCCTCAAACCACTGCAACCCTCTGACACCGCGCGTCGATCGCGTTCACGCAGCTCCAGCGCCTGTGCCGCCGCGGATCAAGCCTTGTCCAGTGGTTTTGAGGTAAATTTTTACACATTGGTCGAACCGAACAGGCTACCTTGTCTCTGATCCAGCGTCAGATGAGTGTTAGGCGTGTGACGTGCAGCGAAGGGGCTTAATTGCCCCGCCGTTCGTTGCTCCACGCGTTAATGTACGACACGAACGCATAAATTTCAATTTAGGCAAATGGTGTTTCTCTGTGTGCGTGAGTGTCTTTCCTGGCTTCCAGTCATCCGTAAGTAAATGATGCGGTTATTTTACGTCTTGGGTGTTTCAGAGGAGTGGCACTACGCCGCACCAGGACCCCAATTCCTGCCGATTCGCGGAAGCTCCTGATCCAATCGTCGGCGGCGGTGATTGGCCTCCACAACCCATTTCCTCGCGTCATCACAACCCAGGTAAGTGTCTACCATCTTGCCTCACACTCACCGCAGTTGTCTGGTGCATCCTAGTATTTGTCGTACTTCGATAGACCTCAGTCAGGTTGTAGCACTTTGTGCTGAGCTGCCATTGGTGCGTGTGGACCACTCCTCCCTCCTGATTGGCTAATTGAGGGCTCTCTCATTTCTCACTTTAAAATCATCACTCTTTGTGATCTAGACCAGGACCTTGTGAGCAATCCGGTTACCGTTGCGTCTTGAAAGCCAAGTTTATTACTGAGGCTCATAAAGGTAGACATTGTGCCATTGCGTGTCGGAATCGGCGTGGGGAATTATGCATTGTGTTGCAAGAGGCCTGCGTAGCGACGTATAAGGGCGCAGACATATTGGACCACGCTGGCCAACCAGAGACAGACACGTCTGAGAAGGGGTATATAATGATCGATGCAGCCAACGTGAGTTACTCGGAGGGACTGCGCCTGACACGTGGTTCTGGCTTGTGATTGGTCAATAAAGCCGGTTTTGTTGTACCAGCCTTCTTCATGCCAGAGCTCGGGTATTCTACACCTGGACGTGGGCATGTTGCCATCGTGGTGGACCAGCTTCCAGTGAACCAATCAAGATGTTCTCTGTCAACAGCCAATGAGATTGAAACACATAATGACCAATGAAAGTGGTCGGAATTGGAGGAATCGAAAATTGTTGAAGCTTGGCTTGAGAGTAATGCCGCGGGCCACGCCGAATCACTGCAAGACCTTCATAAGACGGTGACCTTGAGGGTACAACAATGATTGGGTTGTTTGTTGGAAAGCTCCGAAAGCGGCGAAATCGAATGTGTCTGTTGGAAAGATTGAATTAAGCTATTTCTCTTCCTGCCTAGGCTATTTCTTGCCCTGCAGCGCCACTGTGCAGCTTTTTTGCTGCGTTTTTTCCTCTGGCACAGTGAAAGCAAGGCATGAAAAATACTGAAATTGTTTTGCCGGTGTTAGCTGAAGGCATGGTTTCAAAATGCCACGAAACATGTATCCGCGCGAGCGTCTTTCGACAAACCCCACTCCCGCTGATAGCATAAACATGTGATTCTGCGTGATGGGAACGTTTTTTGTTTAAATCATGGAAAAATCATTCGCATCAAGTCGTCAATCTTTGCCATCGTGTATATTTTTTTTAAATCATTTTGGCCGATATTGATTCTGCGTAGAGTTGTTGCGTCTTTTCGTGGTATCTCGGAGATCGATTTCTGTATCGATTAACGATGACCATTAAAGATTCGGTTTGAGATCGAAGTGCACTGGCAATTTGAAATGCCGCTTTAACTGGCACAACAGCGCAGTAAAACAACACGAGTGTATCTGTTGGCTGAAAAATCGCGTATGTGAACTAAAAGCTCATAAAACATGAGATTTCGGCTAAGGAGAACGCCAATACGATCACCTCGCCTCAATTAATAAGTTTATTAGTGCAACAAACTGCGCTGATCTGACACAACTCACCGGTTGCTATGTAAACAATTTCGAAGTGCCGCCCAGCTAGCGATCCAGTAAAACAAGCCAAACCATTTGTGATATTAAACCCCACATTGAGTTATTACATGAAAATTCTGGATATTGAGCTCAACTGAAGTAGTCGATTTAAGCATGTACATTATCACAAAGTTGTCGCGTGGATTTGAATTTGATCGTAGTGTTTGAATATTTTTATTGTTCCAATCACAATCATCGTAATAAGTTTTCGTGTTATCCAACCAATCATCGCTCAGTGGGCATTTGACGTCGTACCGATTTAATTATTAACGTTTGCCCTTTTAACAACACCTGCGCATTCATCCGCGATTTGCCAAGTCTGTTCGCTCTTTCTTGTTGGCGATTTCGCACGAAGTGCGTTATCGTAGCCAATGATAGAACATCTTGCCAACGTTGCGTTGATCTTATTGGTTGTTCGTTAATTGGACAGAGGAATGTCTGCTATTAGTCTTCTTGTTTTTGTGCCCTCTCTTTCTCCGGCCCAAAAGGTGACATTTTCTTTCAAATCTTCTTCTCGATTTTTTTCCGAAGTGACATTTTATTTCAACTGGAGATAATTTTAATGTATTTTTTCTACAAAACTCGCTCAAGCCTGCATTCCGAACTAGAAATGCACTGTTGCCTCGAGTGTCCACTTACGCCTCCCCGCTTCAGATGTCTCTTGTGTGGATAAATTATTTTTAAAAGGGACGTTATTTGCGATCCTTCGGGGTTGAAGGTGATTCGTTGTTGAGCTCCACAAATAAGTATTGTTACTTATTTCTATTAAGTAGGGCTGTATGTTGTAGATTTGCTAACAGATGTCGATTCGCACGCGAGTCAGGTATGTTCCACCGCCGCGTCTTTGCTCACTCAGTTATCCGGACAACTGCAGCAATTGAATGTTTCTAATCAAGCCTCACTGGTGAAACCAGTTAATCAAGTGCGAAATGAGCCAACGGAGTTCGACCTTCCTGCGCCTCCATCTCCTGACATGCTCGACGTGCGCTAGAACCCTTGCCCGCCTCTCTTTGTTTCACGTCGCCATCAGTTTACACCATAATTATCTAGCTTTTTTGACTAATAATGCTTATTGGGTTGTAAATTCAGCTTTTTGTAATGGTTGTAATGATTTCTCTTCCTGCGGTCTGTCATCACAATGAATCATCCAGCGAAGACACATGCAGATATCCCGGCCTAATGTAGCTTTTGACGTAACAAAATTAAAAAAATGTACACCTGTTTATACACAATGTTGTTTTGTATCAAAAGGAAGTGTGAAAAACTTTTGGAGCCTAAGCAAAGCCAATTTGGTGTGACTTATAGTTGAGAGGGTGCACTTCACCACTTGTCTTTCGCGTTCACGGCTTGAGTAAATTGAAACACCTGAGTAAAGTCCAGCTCCGATACAACCTGAAATGCATTTTTGGTGGATAAATCATTTCCAGAAGTGCTTTTGATTTTCCTCGACTGAAGTGAGAGAGATCCACGCTTCGTGTAATGTGGATGAGCAATTTGTTGAAAAAACCCATGTTGTTCCAAATGACGCTTTCTACGTTTTTTCTGACTGTAGGCGTAGTATTACAGCCATCGTTATCTTTTCAAACACTCGTTTTTAGGTGCAACTCGATGCATAAAAAAGGAGTTCTAAGCAATTTGTTAGTTCTGCGATTTATCTGGATTTATCAGAGCGCGTTTTCGTACTAATAGTTTACTGCAAATTTAAGATAATTGAATGCCAAATCATACCTACATAACCAGGAGTTTGAATCAATTTAATAACAAACGAAGGCAAACCTTTAACAAAAAAAATAAATTTTAATGATATTTTGAAGCAAAATAACCAAATAAATCGAATCATTAAATTAAAAAAATATTTTGTTAAAATCAATGCCTCTAAATTTACTGCAGCAGTGCAAGTAAGGCTACGAGTCACCAAATTACATGCACGCAATTTAAGTCACAAGGCAAGGCTAAAGCATTCTACAAAGAGATTGCATAGCAAGAAAAGTATGTTTAAAACTCCGTGCGTAACCGTTTCATAATTGTGCTACCGTTAATCCTCTCAGCAAGTAGGATGCTTTCATAATTTAAATGCAATTGGATGTCAAGCTACGACATTACCAAAAATTACTCGAAAATTAAAATTTTGCTCAGTAATGCTGCAAGTTTTCGGCTCAAAATATTAGATATCTGAAATGATGACTTGCTTTTGAATTTGTGAATTTAATTAATAATCAAGAGTCATTTCAAAATCGAATGCAACGTTCTTTAGGGAAAAAACCTGGTTTTATGCAAATTTACATCAGTTAGGCATATAATATCTTTATATTTAGGAAATTTTAATCTAAATTAATGAGCAAAAGTATAGCATTACAATGAAATGGCATTTATATTTTGATTTAAGTTCAACGGTATGCGTCTAAGTGCTATGAATGAAATAAAAATGTAACTTATTCTCTTTAAATATTTTATAGTTGAATTAAAAGCCAAAAGCAAAAAAAAAGTTGTTAAATTTTATTGGTAGCTTTTATAATTTTAAAGACATTAGAATTAATGGTGATGCTGCTTTGTGACCTTTTGATTGATTAGTTTGACCCAACATATCATATTCGTTGTTAACTAGCCTAACGTTGGTTCATATGAGGGGATGACGGCCGGAACGGTTGATATTAGCTCAGTCGTTGGTGAAACTGAAGATGAATTAGTCCAGAAACTGGAAGAATTAAACAGGTAACAACTGTCAAATCTTTATTTTCTTTAGGTGCCTAAGTGCAGATTCTAAAGCTGTTATATCGTGTTCTTCAAGTGACAAACCCTGTCGCTCCGCTTCAAAGACTAGTTTGACGTCATCTCTCTCAGATGGCAGTTTTTGTAAGATTTTTTGTGGTTATATTCATAATGATTTTTGTAAAAGTAGCTCTATCTCTCGAATTTCCTTTCTGGACTTAATTTTGTATTTTTTGTCAATATTACGCCATGATTTTGGTGTTGTCTTGTCCTGTCTATATTTACGCACGTTTTAGTAAGCACCCCATGTCACGATGGTGGAAGTACCAGCAATCTCTCTGGCTGTTCTGAGAAGAAGCACACCAGATGGGCTTCCTTCTCCAACGCCTTTCCCAGTTTCCTCAACACCGGTTCAAATTCTGTCCCACCATCTACGATGTCTCTTTGCCAACAATGGAACACCGTTATCAGTAACTGGGATCAATATTCCAAAAAGAAGTCATTTATTATAGTATGTGATTGGAACAAATATTTGACGGTTTTAACTTCCCCCGTTTTATTCTGTCTACGTTTTCAACATCATTTTATGGTATATGAAGTGTTGTCAACTTGTCTTGCGCACTAAACCCTGAAGCAAGTGAAACCTGATCTATATTCCGCTAACGTGGTATATAACCAATAAGATTCCTCGACACTTCACGTGTATTTTGGATTTAAAGTATTTCCTAACTCCTCTCTTTTGGCCTAATATTCGTCCTCTCTAGGTTTACGCTGCAGTATTCAGAAGCCACGATTCTTTAAATAAATCTCTAACTTTTTTATTTGAGGATTTAATCCGCATGGGTATTCCTGACCAGTTTCGTTCTACGATCTGGCAACTCCAAACCGGGGCATATGATTCCTTACTGAAACAGGCCTACCACAAGTACCTGCGTGATGTCTCGCCCTATGAACGTGCCATCAAACGTGACATTTCTCGAACATACCCTAAACACGACTTCTTCAAAGATAAGGTATGAGGTCTTCTGACAGATATCCATACTCCCCTCTTGGCCCACATCAATCTTAAACCATTGACTGCACTATTATTAGCTTCTAGGAACATCTAGTTTACAAAAGTCGAAGTTTTTGAAACCTATTATTCATGTGAATGCTTTGTTAACGCGTTATGGTTGTCAAACTAATTTATTATCAAGATTTAAAAAAGTTTACACTGAAGTGCTCTAATTACTCGGAGAGTTACTTGATGGGGCATTGACTCAGGAAATCGCAAGAGTTTAAACTCTAACCCCTCAAATATTTTGGATTTTTCCTAAAGGGGTAAATTGCGTGGATATTCCATCCTCTTTCTGTGGAAAATTCTGCCTCAATTTCCTTGTAAATAGACATTGCCTGTCGCCAGACGTACCTCGATTAAAACCGAAGGTTTACGAGGAAACGCATCGGAAGTTAATCAAGTGGATTTTTAACCAAGCCTGTAGTTGCCTTCTAGACTTAGCGTGATGGCCTTGTAATATTTCTGCTAGGCGTTGTTTTCCTTAATTCATCTCAACTTAAATTTTGCCAAATCTCAGTGTGTTCTTCCACACGTGCCTTTGATTACTTTTTGTTACAATTCACAAAAAAACCAAGTGTGGGGGCGTTTTGGTGACGGTTAAATGCACCCACAAACATGCAGTTAACTTGAGCGCGCACATTTACACGTGATCTTTTCACTTAATTTACGTAAGTGAAGGTGTGCTATTTATAAGCTCACGTCACCATTTTGGAGGTAATTGTTACAATCCGATCACTGAGAGACGTGTATTTAGCTTGCCACAGTGTGCGATTTTTGTGCATCTGTCGGTAATTCGTTTGTGTCCTGCTGTCTCTCGTCGAGTTCTTTGTTTGCCACGGGAACCGAGGCCCTTCCATCGTCCCCTGGATCCTCGGCTTGATTGGTCGCGGAGAACGCGCGTCAAATACGAATGCTTGGGGTTTTCCTTTGAGCTATTGGGGTCTGATCACTCTCTCGGCTCCCAGTCGATGCCTTTCATCGTTACTAACGGACTTCGTGACCCACCAATGCGGTGTTTTCCTGCAACCGTGGTCATCTGTTGCCTCGCGTGCGCACTCTTTCCACTTGTCTTGTGATTTGGTAAATGACGCAATCTGATCTCTGCACATAACTGTTGGGGAAATTGGTAGAATTCATCATTATTTTCTTCCGAACTTTTAAAAACGATTATTTATGTGTACACAATTGTCAAGTCGACTGCTCACCTCTTCCTGCCACAATCTCATTGGTTCAACCCCACCTTAAGCGGGCCGCCTGCTGTCAAGGTCGTCTATGGCTGGTACCATTGGGTGTTGGACATCATTTAAACGCGAAAACCACCCAACACGTCTTGGTGATTATCACTCTGATTCACCGGTCGTGTATTCAACGCGGACACTAATTAGCTTTCCTTCGGCTTGTCCACCTATGTATTCAGATGTCCTTTCTTCACCGGGCAATGATTTTACATTGTGTCCGATGCGATTTCGGTTATTAATTGTTCTTGGCCGTCCTACAATGTTCTGCACGATATTGAAGGCAGACCTGAAATCGCATTGCGAATTGCAACAGAATCGTTTTGTGTTCGAAAAAAGCCCCATAAACTTGTGACCGGAATCTGCCAAAATCTTGGCCTCATTCACGGACAACCTGCAGGTACCGCTTTCGTCGACAACCTAGGCAGGTCCGTCACTGTTGGTTTTGTGTAATTTATTTTGCACCAATACCCATCATCTTCACGCAGCGCGTACACCTTCTCGCCGAGTTGCGTCAATGAAATTGCACCCACACCATCACGGGGAATCGCGAACGTATACCACTGCCTTGCTTATTCTCTCATTTCAGGGAAGTGGCGGTCAACAGAGCCTATTCAACGTGATGAAGGCGTACTCTCTGCACGACCGTGAGGTCGGCTACTGCCAGGGCTCCGGGTTCATAGTGGGTCTTCTCCTGATGCAGGTAGGTCGTGTCTATCAGCCAGAAGTGCTCATCTCCAATTTGGAGCTGTGCTATGCAAGTCTTTGAACGCGCATAACGAATTTCCTGCTATCGATTCACGCGATTGGGCGGTTAGTGAGAGCGGTAACGCTATTGGTCAGGGTTCGACCAATAAGAGTGGGAATAGCGATTAGTGATCGGTAAGGGAGACTCTCCACTCACTGAGCGTAGAGTGGATATTGACGATATTTTCAAGGTCAACAATTTTCCTGTTTTTTTCCAGTACACATCAAGGGACTGCTGTCTAACCTGTGTTCAGCAAGTGATTTCACTTTTTGTGCTGCGTCTGCTCGCGCGCGCGCGCGCTCGATTAAAGTGCGCGCGTGAAACCACCGACTGCGTCCAGTAAAACAAATGAAGAAAAAAGCACCAGCAAGCACTCGCAAGCTTCCGTCACCCACACGTCGTAATCACTGCCTCCGGATGCAGGTTTCTGATTCGCGGTTTAATGCGCGCAGCCTTCCTCACACCTAGGGGCTACAGTCGACTTACAAATGGCGTGAATAAAGGCCAAACATGCTGACGCACTTTAGTCTGTGTTCCAGGCTGTCGTGTGTTGCGATTTACCTGCGTTTTCTAATCACCACTGCCTAGAACATTGATGAAATCAACTACACCTGAATCCTGACTAATATCTTCACTAAGGCCTGCTAGGGGTCGGAGTTGCAAAAAAAGGTCGTGTTTGGTTTAGGAGCCAGACTGGCAGGGGTTATCGCGCAGTCAGTAGCTTTCAGATCGGGCCGTAAAACTCGCACGCGTCTTCTCCCCGTGCTATCACACGTAGAAATGGATAACACAACAGCAGCTTAAAACCGTAAACTTGACATTTGAGGACTCCACAAAAAAACATTTTTATGTTTTCACACACACAACTTGGGGACCACGTAATCACGATGTTTTTCACAATACGCGAAGACGTGTGTGCATTTAGTATCAAGTTATTACTGTCGTGTTTCGTCAACTATCGCCATCTTGGTGTTTCCTCGATTCAAAGGTGTTGGGTTGTTTTTACGTCGATTTAAACAACGGAGCAGTGGTTCTGCTGAAGGATTACGTAATGAATTCTGGCGTTCGAGATTTGATGAACGTGTTGTGGCATATCAATGCAGGTGTGACCCAATTTTTACATAGTTTCACTTCAAACTCAAAATAATGCGTAAAATCGACGTATTTTCGCGGTTTTTTGTGGTTTTGGAAGGATCGGACGCAGGATTTCAGACCACTGAACGTCAAATCACTTAACCTCTTAGAAGAGTTGAGTTTACGATGATGGCCACTGCATTTTACACGAATTCCAACAAGGCAAAAAACGCTGCTTCAAAAGCACGAAGAGAATCAATTTGTAGTGTTCTTGGTGCCGACGATTCAGAAGTGGCGATTTCGA